ATGTGTGTGCGTTGTGAGTGTATGTGTGTGCTTTGTGAGTGTATGTGTGTGCTTTGTGAGTGCATGTGTGTGCTTTGTGAGTGTATGTGTGTACTTTGTGAGTGTATGTGTGTGCTTTGTGAGTGAACGCATGCGTATGTGTGTATATACGCGGATACGAGAATGTGCATGTGTATACATGCGATTGTATCGTGTCATACAGCTCACACTGCTGGGTGGACGTGTGCGTGTGTGTATATATGGGATGCTACGATGCGTGTGTATGTGTATATATGAGATACTACGATGCGTGTGTATGTGTATATATGGGATGCTACGATGCGTGTGTATGTGTATATATGGGATGCTACGATGCGTGTGTATGTGTATATATGGGATGCTACGATGCGTGTGTATGTGTATATATGGGATGCTACGATGCGTGTGTATGTGTATATATGGGATGCTAAGATGCGGGTGCGTATGCGTGTGGAAAAAAGTATTGTGATTCACAGAAGCAGCATAGCACAGATCTACGGTAGAGTCTTCTTTGAGAACGCGACAGAAGTCTAAACTAAGCAGCAGTCGTATTGTGCTTGGCCGGTATGGACTCTATAAACCCTATACCCTAAACCTTAAACCCTACACCCTTAAACCCTGAAATCTAACACCACCATGTATCCGCGGACCGGTTCACAGCCTGCTGATCTGACTGTGTCGCTCGCTTTATTTTGTTTAGGTTTCTTCCGATAGACAGTGACGGTGTAGATGAGGGTGGTGAAGGGTTGTATATGGATTTACAAACACTGGAAACCATCAGTGAGTTGCCTGATGCTCCTAAGATAGACTACACACACGTCTGGAATCTTCTATTATCCACACAAGTACAGCCGGATCCCAGTATGTAAAATGTCTCATATATATATATATATATAACATATCTCTTAGATAGGGCTATAAAAGACCTATTCTCAGATAGAGCTGTAAAAGACTTATTTCTCAGATAGGGCTACAGAAGACCTGATTGTGCCATTGCTAATGAGTCATCGGGGTATAGGCGTCGCGTGTTGCATGTATAGTAGCCTCTTCAAATATTTATTTTCTACTGTAGTCATGCATGTTTGGCTACCTTCCCCCACGCCTATCAAGACGGACTCTTGCCTTTAATCACCACACTCCTACGTACACACACACATACACACACATAGACGTTTCAACCCACACACCCTTTACCACACACACTGTGCGTCTGACACACACAACACACCACCACACGCAGACGGCGATGTGGAGGATCTGTTTGTGCCGTTGCTGCTGAGTTGTCTGGGCGCAGGCGCGGTCTGTGCCTATGTAGTGTTCCTGCACTTCAAGATACCTACCAAACGCGCTAAGGTGGCTGTGCGTGTGTGTACAGCTCTGCTGATGTGGGGGGTGGTGGTGACATGTGCGTACGTTAACAGAGACTTCACGCCTGTTGTGTCGTATGTGATGCTCGTGGCGGCTACGGTGGTGGTCGCTGTACCGATAAAGGAAATACTGCGGTATGTCGTGTGCGTACGTTTCTAAGCACACACACACACACACACACACACACACACACACACACACACACACACACACACACACACA